CAGACAGAAATACATACGAAGCGAATTATATGATAGGTATGTAAATTAACATGCACCCTACTGCTGTTACATTTGATTACAAAATTGTTTTGCGATGATGACGGTATAATAATAATTGGTGACGTTTTAAAACCATTTGCGAGCTTATATATTTTACAAAAATTAGTATGTAACTTTACACGAGTAGACACATCCATTATGCTGTAGAAAAGTGCATTTGTATAATGGATCTTACATTAATCATACGACAATCTCTCTTTGCTTTGCTCTATTGCGCCTCTTGCCTTTTACACGGTTGATAGTAAATCATTTTTTTTTAATTTCAACATGTACGCTATTAGTTTTGATGCGAAGATTTTTTTTGTGTAAGCACGATAATTTTTTTTTCTACTGTACCGATTTACTTGAGTACCGCTTCTATACATCCGAAATTGTTTGCGAATGGTACTTTGGTGGGTCAAAAGTAGAAAAAGTCAACTTATTTATCGCTAAAACCTGGAAAATCAGAAAAGAATTTCGGTAGATTTTTTAACTTTCAACTTTAACTTGCTATAACTCAGCGAAAAACGTTGGAGTCCAAAATAGTGTAGAAATTTTTTTTTAGGCATAGACAAATATCCTTAAATAAAAATTCCAAAAACCCTGAAGCCCCCTACAGGGTTTGAAATTTTTAATTTTGTTGGCGCTATGTAAGTCTTAAAAGCTGAAAATTAAACCTAAGATAGCTTAGGGTTCCTAGTAGTAGCGCGTCTGAATGGATGTACATTAACACGATTCCTACTGTCCCTTAAATCCACCAATGTCTACCAATACCTACTGTATATTTAATCGCTGTATTTTAAGAACATGTCAATTATTATCATTCAAAGATTGTTTGTTTAAAAAAATATAGAAAATGGTCGCTGGTGTAATTATTAATAAAAAAATGAACTTCATCAATAAAGTATCCTCTTAAGTATAAGTAATATACAAGTACTAAAATTTTAGGTGAACATTATATTTTACATTTTAGTAAAAAAATATTGGTAAACCCTTAAAATTATAATGGTTGACGTTGGTGTATTCAGATATCTGCTTTGGCAGTTTATAAAATCCTGTTCAGTGTGTTATAATTGATTGAATTTTCCGTAGTATAAATGAAATAAGTATGTGATAGCATATTTAATGCACGTCACGTTGTATTTTCTATTTTAACCGTGTCATGTACTTCGACGTGTCGAGATTTCTTCTTCTGCCTCCAAGTTCCACGTGATAGAATTTAAGGAAATGCGACACATGCTTTATTGTCACACCACACGTTAACCCCTAACCGATATGTCGTCTTTATTATACTCGTTTTCACAAATCCCAAGTACATTATACGAATGAGTATTACACGCACATAAGTCATATATTAAAAAACTCTGTCTCGGCTTATACATTAACTAAAATCAATCTACTAAAAACAAATATATATATACACAAAATTACTTGGGTTACATGTGGAGCAAAATATCATTTTAGGTCATCGCTGAAGAGCATAAAACATTAAGAATTTTTCACTTAAATATTCGCAGCTATCACTTGTGTTGTAGATTTTTTTTTTATTATTCCAGAAGTCGTACTAAATGTTAGGAGCCGATACTTAACGAGGCCAGGTTGAAAGAATGTCTTCACATGACAATTTGGATACTTAATATGGTTTTTATTTAAATAGGAGGTTAGGATTGTAGCTATTTCGATCAAGTGAGTTCAGTAATAAAATATATTGTAGGGGGCATATATTTTGTCTCTAGAAATGTAGCTACCGAAACTCTAACGAGTGTCCACGAGTATCCAACAAACGTTTAATAACAGTCACGATACAAATAGACCATTTTTGTTGTGTTTTCACTTTGGACGTTGCTGAAGAATTAGCTCGACTCGATGTGGTGTAAATAACGAAAACAGCTCTTGCTAAGGTCGGGCCGTAAATCTTCTATGGTCACTATAAAATGCGGGCGACTATAGGGAAGCCACGGCCGTAAACGGTCTCCTTGAGAGTTCGTGTTCGTGATATATGTATGATAACATCGTACTGCCTATAGGTAGCAGCGTACAATATGAGGACGGCCGATTGAAATCGTTTTTGGCACACGCCGTGCATTACTAATATACCTACCTACCAGAAAAGGCAGGCTGAGCCGGAAAAGTGCCCAAAGCGCAGGCATAATACTAGTCTGAGGCAAATAATAATCTGTCCGTAACACAACGTATTATTATTATCTGAAGGTATAAGTAGCAAATTTGACAGCGCCTATTACTACTCGGTTAACATAATATTCATAGCTTTTAAAATAAAAGCGCCAACGCCGTTATCGAAGCGAAAGAACTTTAAATAAATAATTTAACGAGTGAGCCGAAGGACGTGCAGTTCTAATCCTAAAACTACACACCCGCGACCTTGATTTATGTGCTTGTTCGCCAAATCTGTTGAATAAAGTATTTAGGTCGACCTCGAAAATCATTGCGGAAGAAAAAAACTGCCGTTCGTTGAATAACTTAACGGTGTTTATTGCTTATGCCCAATAGACTACTGATCGAGTTAAATAATTAATCGCACATATAAGCGTTGTTCGTTGTTATTTTACCGGGTTTCAATATTCGAGTGCTAAGCCCATAAATCCTATATAGAAACTTCGGTGACTTCAGTGTAATGAGTTCCGTTTGAACTACTATTTGACTTCTATCGATAATATTATCCTCTTCACATGCACATTAAATTCTGTCTCATATTTACACTGGAGCGTGGTCAGTTTTGTGGTCAGTTTTTTATAAATAACGATTTCGGATAAACTATAATCTAGTCTAAAACGCCCACATATCTGTTAAACTGCCTGTGAGATTTTGTTATTTTAAGTTTGCTATATATTTCTATAATATATTTTTTTTAATATACAACGTGTCGAACATAGTTTTTTCGATTTTTCAGTACACACGCTTACAAGAAATATTATAAACGAATTTTCTATAAATACAAAAAAACCCACTGAGTAGAAAATATACCAAAAAATAATAAAATTACAGTATGATGGAAGTCAAGTTACAACGATAGTAAAATTACAATATACTTTCATAACCCATATATAATAAATATGTTATACATGTTTTTGAAAATCAAGATAAATGCGTGCTAACATTTTATACTAAATTAAAACTATTAACTCTCATATTTTTTTTTAATCGATCAATTTTATTAGGATTTGTATGATAAGAAATAAGAAAAAATCAGCCATTTTTCAGCCGAGTCTGCAACATAGAATATTTTCATATCTCGTTGAAGTACCGAATAAAGTTAGATTAGTTGTGGAACTATAATTAAAAAAAAAAAATCATGGAGCTTCCAGTTACAGCATAAGGCCAAGGAGATTAAAAAATTATGCACAAAAGTTTCTGGCTAAAACTGTAGTGTTTGTTATCTGGCCAAAAGTAACTTAACATAGAGAATTAAACTATTTTGAATTTATTTTTTTGTTCTAATTTGAACGTTGAACGTACAACATATCTCTTATCTCTTATCTTCTATATCTTATCCCTATCTCCTACCCACTATCTCCCGTCGCAATCACTAACCCTATCATTTACCCCCTATCTCCCACCCTATCACTCACCCCTATCCCCCACCACTATAACTTGACCTCTATCCCTACCCTCTATCTCCCACCCTATCACTCACCCCATCCCTTACCCCTATCTCCCACCTCCTATCTTCCACCCCGATCTTCCACCCAAATCTCCCAACCCCTTTCGCTCACTCCCTATCTCCAACCCCCTATCCCCTACCCCTATCACTCACCCCTATCTCTTATCTCATATCAGATAACAGCGTAACGCTTTTTACATTATAATTTTTTCGGTTATGTGCCAGAGCTAAGACATGAAAATGTCAAAAAAATATAGTAGAGTGTAAATAAAAATTCCTACTTTCATTTTATTTAATGCTTTACATATGATTTTCGCAATAACTATATACTGTATCTACTATACAGGATAGTAGTTAAACTATGCTTATGAAAGTCGGTTATAAAAAAAACTAAGGATGATCAATAAACTATAATTGGAATTTGGAAGCAATGAAAACAGTACCTAAGAGATAAAGATAAAACTACGCTAAGATATATCACTAAGTAAAGTAAGGATATTTAAAACAGCAGATTAAGATGGTGAAGAAATGTGTAGAAGTCAGAAAGTTGTGTGTCAGGAAGTTTCTTTTGTTGTTTTTCAAGGATATGATTACGGAATAATAGCGACCAAGAGGACATCTAAAGTAACGGTGAACAGAGTTCGAAAGATTTAAGATTATTTACAATAGAGAGCTGAGAATGAAAGAAAGTGTATCTATTTATAAAAAGAAGAAATTAATATAGACGTTTGAAGCAATTCTTAGACAAAACATTGTAAACTTAATTTATCTATAAAAGTACAAGTATACGAAAAATAATTTAATCATTATTTTTAGTTAGGGTATTTTTCTTTTATAAACAAAAATAAAACTAATATTTTGTTCTAGGAAAATATTAAGGAACACTTATGGTTATACATAGTAAAGAAATAAAATATTTCAAAAAACCCTTAACAATAAAAATTGTTTTTTTTTAAACTATAAGGTTTTTTTTTAATATTCCATTATTTTATTTCTTTACAATATTTTTTAATTTTAAAGAATACTAATCTTTTTTGATACTGAAAAAATAAAATTAACTAAATGAAAAATAGTACATTAAACTAGGCAAATATTATCAATATTGCAAATTAATTTTGATTTTTTTTCGTTTACCAACATAAAAGTTGATTTTTAAAAAGTTACAGAGACAACTTAATTTATACATATTCTATTAATTATAATAAAATGTCCTCTAAAAGAAAGCATTTTTTATTAGCTATTTGTGTTTATTTAAGTCGCCGAAAGCTTCAACCTTTTTAACTGTAAACTTCTACATGTTTGACAACTTGACTAATTATATTGAACAACTTTGTTATAGGTAACGTTCTTCAACAAAATTCCATGTTAAAAAGTTCGTTGGCTAACAATAAAGTAAGTACATTTGACAATTTTATGACTATTTATATATATTATTAACTATAAATACAAAATTAAAAAAAAAATGTATAACTTTTTATAGTGCCTCAAAGCTCTATAATATAAATGTGGATTTATTAAAAACTATTTTTACCCTAATCTCTTATTCGGGTAGTTATAGTTTAGATAGGTGAATTGGCACGGTTATGCCTCACTCATTGATGCGAATACAAAACGCATAAATAAGAAAAGTCCTATACTTGGGTTTTTCATTACCCACTCGAGGGACTGCCGATTTACCTTTCTAGTTTCTTGTTATACATACCATTATATTATAGAAACGCCACTCGATAAAGTTAGCTTAGTCTTTGAAACAGTTTTTAAATGGTTTTACAGTTAATCTATCAACTTATAAGTAAAGCTGTCTTTCAAAAATTCATAACATAGCTCAATTACCGATCAAAGTTTATGTAAAAAAAAAACTGCAGTTATTCTATTTTTTTTATCCACGGGATTCATAACTAAATAAAGATTTAATTATATGTGATACATTAATTTATTATCATTTTTATGTATTATATTGTCTTCTGCAAAATTACAAATGTGAAATTTTACTAATAATAAAAAAATAACTTTAGAACAAATGTTTTAGTGAAGAGACTTTACTTTCTTCTAAATATCTTTCTCTGGGAAGAGAGAAATTGTGTTTTATAGACATACAATGTAGGTAATAGTAATTGTCAGAATTAATAGAAGCGAAAGCTTCCCGACTTAATGTATGTTATTTTAGTCAGTTGGATAAAGTTTTGCTTACCTTTATTATGTTTTTATAATAAATTATGCTTACAAATTTTAGTTTATTAAAATACATTCTAAAAAATCGCAGGAACCTGAGGCGGACTCCGACCTTTTAGAATTTTTGGTTCGTGTAGCTGACAGCCCCGAAGAGTGGAATAAAATTCGTCGTGTTTTAAGTAAGTTGTATTTTGATAACATACATATTTTTCCCCCTATTCCTTTAATTAGTAAAATTGTATTTACACAACAACAATTTGAATAAAACGTAAATAATCAAGTGTCAACGTCAACTGTAAAATATACTATGTATTTTAGCATTTGTTATTTCGCTTTGTTTCGTTGCGCAATGATGTTATTTTATATATGCAAACTAAATTATTAAAATCCTATCACGATACAAAGTAGGACTGTTTTCCCCGTACGAATCCTGTTAAAATACTTAGGAGTTACACTTGACAGAACTCTCGCGTTCAAAAAACACATTACCAACGCAACGTTGCGCCAAAAATCGGATCCCGTAATAACATTATCTAAAATTCACTGGAACTGACTGGAATGCCGATTTTCAATTACTTATAGTCCCTGCTGTAAGTCTATAGATTATAGTGTAATCTGCTGTATTTGGCCAAATACTGCTCTCCAGGTTGTCTGAATAGCGCGCACGTTAAGAGGTTAATAGACTCAAGTCACGCTATCCACCATGGTAAACCGCGGTTACATTAAACAGCACCGTTTTTACTTAACTGGGTCTTGGAGAGAAGAATGGTGATCCTCAAAACTGGGTGAGGAATAATACCTACCTAAAGTTGACAGTAAAACCACAGTGTAATTTTTCAATAAGGATCAATGCGGATCCTTATGCATAAGTAAATAAACTGTTTAAATCATTGCGAACAAAATAGTTATGTACTCCCTAAACCACAAAAACACCCATAATAGATGGATAACTTTAGATCGTGGTACCGTAAATTAGTAGAGCAAGAGTTCAAATTGAAAAACAGGTCGTAGACTAAAACCAAAACCTTTGATACTAATATAAAAATGTCAAACAATAAAAAAAAAACTACAAAATATTTGTAATGTTCAATTTTTGTACTGTACCAAATGAAACTCTGTCTTTACGGAACTTTGTCAACGTAAATATTTTTCTATTTTATTGGTATTGTATAGAACATGATAACTATATTGAGGGAGGTAATACATAGAGGTGATTAATCAAAAAGACTTGGCATGTTATTGTCACGAATGATGAAAAGTGAAAATTTACTTTTTCGATACAGAAAAATATAAAATTTCCTGCCATACATAATTTATATAATATACTAGCTACTCTGGCTTACTATTTCGTTTAAGCGATTATCTGCATATTGATTTGAAAAACAAAGAAACGAATTTAGTAAATGACGAATGATTCACTATAGTCTCGTTATAATGTAGCTAAACAAAAACTTATCGGAAATATATAAAATACAATAATGAAAACATTGAAAACTAAATTATCAGTCGTCGCTCGTTATAATAAAATTGATCGCTGTACCCTAAGCTATTTTCAGAGAAATATAATAGTAATTATTAGTTTTGTTTCGAATTAATAGTGTATAGTATTATCTTTTATAGTTCATTGGCCATGTTTGCTTTCCGAGTATTTTTGTTGAAGACAAAATCACGAAAAGCAAAAAAGCAAACAGTTTTTTTTTTTTTGATATATTTATTTGAGAATTATATTTTTTTGTTTCGGTACCTAGTGAATAGTCGATTCATCTAGCAATTTGTTCAGTAAGAAAACACTATACAGAGTGACTCGAACTCTTATGTCACACTATACTTGTATGTGGCCACGTCGTCCCTAGCTAACAAGAGGAGCTGAGAATATTTTTTTTTATAATTATTACTTATAATAAAAGTTTTACGGATTTTAAAAATGTCTAGTGTTTAGCATTATTTTATTTATAAAATCATTTTCTAGCAACTGGTTTTTAGTATAGTTTTATGATTCATCTCGCCTAAAAAAAATTGTACCTACTTTTTTATACTAGATAAATATCAAAACTTGTTATAATATAATATACAAGCCATTTTTTATGAAAATAATTCATGAAAACCGCTTTAATATTTATTCCCCGAAACCGATTTTAGAATGACGGAAGTGTGAATTTGTTTTTCGGCAGTGATGTGCATGTGCATTAACATATTTATTATTTATTTGGTTCAATGTTTTTAAGTAAAATTCAAAACGCCGTACAATGTGTTTTTACAAAAGTCTTACAAACGTTATGTAAATATTTTACACAAAAAAATAGCAGTGTGATATTGTTTATCAGACGTCATGGTTATAGTGCAGGTGTGCAACAACACAAACCAAATAATTGTTGTTTGATACGAAGCCAAATCGACGCGTTTAATCTACTCATTGATATTGTATATCTTACCCTCAACATAACAATACTTCATTAAATAAACATCCTTGAGCCGTTTGCCAATTTCCTGGACTTTATCTCAAGGTAGATCCATTAGCGTTTGCAATTGGGGTTTATTGTGTGAAATATAATTTTCTAAACGGTCACTTAAGTTCATTCCGTCGGCAATAATTACGGCTTTACATTTTTGTAACCTCGTTAATTATATTTTCAAGTGAAGACACTACCTATTTAAACAAAACAGAATTATTAAAATAAGTACTAAGTATTAACTACCTACTTAATAAATAGTTTTATTTTGAATTAAATAGCACAAATCATTGAAACGACGCATACGGGTTTTTTTTTTTAAAGAGATATGGCTTGGTTGATGATATTATACACTTTAATTTCAAGCTCTCGTTGACCTTCAGTTTACTTAATCATATTATAATATTATAGTAAATTATATCAAGTAAATACTTCATACTATTTTCTACGTTAATTTTTCGCGCCCGACAACATCAAGTTTCTTTGTATCTAATTAAAATTGTACAACATTTTTGAATCGCTAAACTAATTAACATGTATTATAAGTTTTAATACTAATTTTGTTTGACATAATTTTCGATATTGCTAAGGTTTCAGTCGGTATTCAAAAACCATTTTATATCTGAAAGAGTGAGTGGACAAATGCGTTAACTGACAATTTTAAAACTGTTCAGGAGGCAACAATTAGTCAATATATATATTCAAATGATCGGAACTTTTAAAATTGTTAAGCTCGACACACTTCACTCATCTGTTTTAATACTTTGCTAAATTGTGTAATATATCCTAAAACTTTTATTTATTCAAACTAAAAACTATTTTACGAAAAATTTCACTAAACACCTTCATTCATTCACCTCTTCATTTATTACAATACTTGAATAATTATAATATTATTGAATATTTGCACACGAAAAAACCAAATAGTTGCATTTATGAAAATTTGATCACGTAATCTATATAATAAAATAATAAATGTTAACCGAATATTTAGTAGTCGATACCCCCATAAAATGTAACTAAAGCAAAATTCAAATGTATGCAGTAAGTTCAAATTCAAAATGTTGCGGTCATTTTATTGAGTGCATATAATAGTAGATACTAGGAAATGCTTATAATTATTATACACGGTGCTGCAGCATTATTAGATTTTCAATTATAGGTGGGCGTATGGCATCAGTGATCAGAGTACCGTGCCCGTTGTTTCCGAGAAGGGTACCGCCATTTTCAATTACATGTGTCGTGAAAACCGTAATACATTATGACGCCAAAAACAAATAGAGACGTATGAGATAGAGGAGTACGTGTGTTTGATCCATCGGATACAATATTATAACAGACGCGCGTGTTACGTGTAGTGGTTAGACGGATGATGATTGATAGTGATCTATGGACGGGGGAGGTGGCCGTTTTAACTCGTTGTAGGTCTGTGTGCGAGGTGATAAGAAGATTATTTATGCTTGGTCTTAAATCTTGTAGTACGCACGTCACTATGTAAATAGTGTCGCAAAATTAATTTTCATCACATTGCACAAAGAGATCTGACAAAACGAATTAAAATAAAACTGTGCTGTGCGAAAACGTTGTGTCGTTGATAGAATATTATAATATGATTATTATCAATTATTAACGTCAGAACGATACATCAACAACGATACTCATGGTACTGACAGTTTAATTGTGACAAAATGTGCTTTATAATGTCCGACATATAGAATAAATAACAAGGGTACATAACACATATTGCATAGGTTTTAAGACGAGGGAATAAAGACTGTTAAATAGAAAGAAGACGTGCCTGATCGCTTCTTTTATACAATCGATCAGCTACTCCATTTGGATATTATAAGCCTAGATCATCAGTGGTGACTTTTTTTTTTTTAACATTTATTATTAAAATACACGATCTGTAATTATTATTTTACAATAAGCGTATGTGATGGAGGAGACATGGCTTGAGGCAGGAGAAAAGAAGCCATCCATTGGAGGCACTTAAGGGCAGGAGTTTATTTTAAATGTGCTATTGTGAGATAATGAGATTGAATACAAAATCAAAGGGAAGTAAAGGTTTATACATATTTTAATTTAGTAGGTCACGACACAAGGTACGTTTAAGTCGCCTTCTGGGGTCACCAAGAATTGCGTTGGTGGATAGTTCGGAAATCAAGGGATTACGATGGCTGAGGAATTTGGAGTGTGTGCGTTTGTAGAAAGTTTTTGCAACGTTTTGGACTGTTGAAATGGCTAGATCTCTATGTAGAGTGTCGTTAGAAACATAGTAAGGAGCTTTGGTTATTTGGCGTAGACATTTTGATTGGAAGACTTGTATTTTATTTAGGTTGGACGGTTTGGCTGCACCCCACAGTTGGATACCGTATGTCCAGATCGGTTTGAGTAGGAGTTTATATAGTAGGAGCTTGTTTTTTAGGTTGAGATGTTGTGACGTGAGGAGATACCGTAATTGGCGAGAGCGGTTATTTAAGGCAAGTCTTTTGTTATGGGTATGGGTTGCCCAAGTTAGTCTGCGGTCTAGATGTAGACCTAGGTATCGGACATTTTGGGCGGTTGGGAGAGGTACATTGTTGAGGTAGATGGGAGGGCAGACTTTTTGCTTTAGTGTGAATGTACAATGAATGGATTTTGTTTCGTTGATTTTAATCCCCCAGTCTTTGTACCATGTTGAAAGGAGATTGAGATGATTTTGTACGAGGTTTGAAGCTATTTCAGGG